GGGGGACCCTAAAAACCGGGATGGAGGGAGGGAATTCCGGGAAAAAATGGGATATGGGATATGGGGGGGGTTTATTTGACTCAAAGCAAAGAATTCCCAAAAAAACTCAGGAATATTTTAATTCCAGGGGGTGTTAAAATCCCAGTTTATTCCCAAAAAAAGGGTTTAAATCCCAATTTATTCCCCAAAAAAATCCACTTTATTCCCAAAAAAAAGGGGTTAAAAATCCCAGTTTATTCCCAAAAAAAGGGTTAAAAAATCCCAATTTATTCCCAAAAAAATTCCAGTTTATTCCCAAAAAAAGGGGTTAAAAAATCCCAATTTATTCCCCAAAAATTCCAGTTTATTCCCAAAAAAAATGGTTTAAAATCCCAATTTATTCCCAAAAAATCCCAATTTATTCCCAAAAAAAAGGGGTTAAAATCCCAATTTATTCCCAAAAAATTCCAGTTTATTCCCAAAAAAAGGGGTTAAAAATCCCAGTTTATTCCCAAAAAAAAGGGTTAAAAATCCCAATTTATTCCCAAAAAATCCCAGTTTATTCCCAAAAAAAAGGGGTTAAAAAATCCCTAAAAAATCCCTAAAAAATCCCTAAGAAATCCCTGAAAAATCCCTAAAAAATCCCTAAAAAATTCCTTAAAAATCCCTAAAAAAATCCCTAAAAAAATCCCTAAAAAATCCCTTTAAAAATCCCTTAAAAATCCCTAAAAAATCCCTAAAAAAAATCCTTAAAAATTCCTATAAAATCCCTAAAAAATCCCTAAAAAAATCCCTTAAAAATCCCTAAAAAAATTCCTTAAAAAAATCCCTAAAAAAATCCTAAAAAATCTCTTAAAAATCCCTAAAAAATCCCTAAAAAATTCCTAAAAAATCCCTTAAAAATCTCTAAAAAAATCCTAAAAAAAATCCCTAAAAATCCCTAAAAAATTCCTAAAAAATTCCTAAAAAATCCTTTAAAAATCCCTAAAAAATCCCTAAAAATCCTTTAAAAATCCTAAAAAATCCCTAAAAAATCTCTTTAAAATCCCTAAAAAAATCCTAAAAAATCCCTAAAAAATTCCTAAAAAATCCCTGAAAAAATCCCTAAAAAAATCCCTAAAAAATCCCTAAAAATCGCCAAAAAATCCTTAAAAAATCTCTAAAAAATCCCTAAAAAATCTTTTAAAAATCCCTAAAAAATCCCTAAAAATTCTCTAAAAAATTCCTTAAAAACCCGAAAAAATCCCTAAAAAATCCTTAAAAAAATCCCTTAAAAATTCCTTAAAAATCCCTAAAAAATCCCTAAAAAATCCTTAAAAAATCCCTAAAAAATCCCTAAAAAATCTCTAAAAAATCCCTAAAAAATCCTAAAAAAAATCCCTTAAAATTCCCACCTTCTGACCCTCATATTCCCAAAATATTCCCGGATTTTTCCGAAGATTCCCGATGTCCGACGGCGACTCCGATTTCCTGCTCAAGCTCTTGGCCCTCGGAGATTCCGGAGTCGGGAAAACCACGTTCCTGTTCCGTTACACGGAGAATTCCTTCAATCCCAAATTTATCGCCACCGTCGGCATCGACTTCCGGGAAAAACGAGTGGTGAGAATTCCTGGGATTTTTTGGGAATTTTTGGGGATTTTTTGGGGATTTTTTGGGATTTTTTGGGGATTTTTTGGGGGATTTTTTGAGGATTTTTTAGGGATTTTTTGGGATTTTTTGGGGATTTTTGGGGATTTTTTGGGGATTTTTTGGGATTTTTTAGGGATTTTTTGGGAATTTTTTGGGGATTTTTGGGGAATTTTTTGGGGATTTTTTGGGATTTTTTGGGGACTTTTTGAGGATTTTTTGGGGAATTTTTGGGGATTTTTGGGTTTTTGGGGGGATTCTTTGGGGGATTTTTTGGGATTTTTGGGGTTTTTTGGGGGGATTTTTTGGGGATTTTTGGGGAATTTTTGGGGATTTTTTGGGGATTTTTGGGGAATTTTTGGTGGATTTTTTGGGAATTTTTTGGGAATTTTTGGGGATTTTTTAGTGGATTTTTTGGGGATATTTGGGGGGATTTTTGGTGGAATTTTGGGATTTTTTGGGGGATTTTTGGGAATTTTTTGAGGGTTTTTTGGGTGGTTTTGGGAAATTTTTCAGGGAATTTTTGGGTTTTTTTGGGGAATTCTGGAAGGATTTTTTGGGGATTTTTTGGGGAGTTTTTTGGGGATTTTGGGGAATTTTTGGTGGATATTTTGGGAATTTTGGGAGAATTTTTCCGCGAATTTTTGCCGTTATTTTTGGGGAATTTCAGGGCCTTTTTTGGGATATTTGGGGAGGTTTTTTTGGGAATTTCTGTCCTCAAATCCCGGGATTTCTTCTCTCCCTGGATTTTTCCGTAGGTTTATCCCAGGCCCGGATCCGACGGATCTCCGGGAAAAACCTTCAAGGTCCATCTGCAGCTCTGGGACACGGCCGGGCAGGAGAGGTAAAAATTCCCGGAATTCCGAGATCCCAAACCCTGGAATTCCCAGATTTCAACCCCTGGAATTCCTGGATCCAAACCCTGGAATTCTGGGATTTCAAACCCTGGAATTCCCAGATTCCAAACCCTGGAATTCCCACATTCCAAACCCTGGAATTCTGGGATTTCAAACCCTGGAATTCCCAGATCCCAACCCCTGGAATTCCTGGATCCAAACCCTGGAATTCCGGGATTCCAAACCCTGGAATTCCCAAATTCTAAACCTTGGAATTCCAAACCATTCCCAGATTTCAAACCCTGGAATTCCCAGATTCCAACCCATGGAATTCCGGGATTCCAAACCCTGGAATTCCCAGATTTCAATCCATGGAATTCCCAGATCCCAAACCCTGGAATTCCCAGATTCCAAACCCTGGAATTCCCAGATTTCAAACTCTGGAATTCCAAGATTTCAAACCCTGGAATTCCCAGTTTCCAAACCCTGGAATTCCCTGATTCCAAACCCTGGAATTCCCGGATTTCAAACCCTGGAATTCCCAGATCCCAATCCATGGAATTCTGGGATCCCACCCCCCAAAATTCCCAATAAACCCCCTAAAATTCCCCCCAAATCCCTTTTTTCCCAAATCCCTGAAATCCCTGGGATTTTCCAGCTTCCGGGATGGGTCGAAATTCCCGATTTTCCCGGTTTTTCCAACAGATTCCGGAGCCTGACGAGGGCGTTTTTCCGGGATGCGATGGGATTCCTGCTCATCTTCGACCTCACCAACTTCCAGAGTTTCCTCAACGTCCGGGATTGGATGAGTAGGTTCGGGAATTCCGGGAATTCCGGAGGGAAAAGAGGGGAAAAAAGGGTCCTAAAGGGGAAATTCCTGAGGAAAAATGAGGGGGAAAAGGGAAAATTCCAAAGGGAATATTGGGAATAAATGGCTGAGAGGGAGAATTCCCGAAAAAAGATTGGGAATAAGTGATTTTAAAGGGAAAATTCCCGAGGAAAAGTTGGGAATAAATGATTTAGAGGGAAAATTCCGAAGGGAAAAGAAGGGTCTGAAAGGGAAAATTCCCGAGGAAAAATAGGGAAAATTCCCAAGGAAAAATAGGAAAAAAAAGGGTCTGAAAGGGAAAATTCCCAAGGGAAAAATTGGGGAAAATTCCCAAGGAAAAATAGGGAAAATTCCCAAGGAAAAATTAGGGAAAAAAAAGGTTTTAATGGGAAAATTCCCGAGGAAAAATTGGGAAAATTCCCGAGGAAAAATAGGGAAAATTCCCAAGGAAAAACAGGGGAAATTCCCAAGGAAAAATAGGGGAAAAAAAGGTTTTAATGGGAAAATTCCCGAGGAAAAATTGGGGAAAATTCCCGAGGAAAAATAGGGAAAATTCCCAAGGAAAAATTAGGGAAAAAAAAGGTTTTAATGGGAAAATTCCCGAGGAAAAATTGGGAAAATTCCCGAGGAAAAATTGGGGGAAAAAAGGGATTGAAAGGGAAAATTCCAAAGGAATTTCTTTGGAATTTTGGCTCTAAGATTTTATTCCCAATTTTTCCTTTGGAATTTTCTCATTCAGACCCTTTTTTGGGGAATTTTGGCGGAATTTTTTGAGGAATTTTGGGGAATTTTTGGGGAATTTTTGGGAGATTTTTTGGGGATTTTTTGAGGGAATTTTTG